TTTAAAGAAAAAAAAAAAAAAAAAAAAAAAAAAAAAAAAAAAGGTGAATAATCATGCTGTGGGGGTGATCAGAAGGTCAGGGGTAGGAAATCGCCTGCCTATTGCCTGCCTTGTCTTAACCACTCCCATCCCCATCACCGTTTTAATTGTCTTGGAAAAACTTCACTTCAAACCTTATGATCAGACACTTTTGCAGATCACCCCCTTACCTTTGAAAATATTACATAAGCTAGCCTTTAGTTTTGTTGATTATGGATCAACAAGCAAGAGCCGAGTGTGCACGCTTAGAACTTGGTATGGAAAAACATTTGAAAAATGAAAAAATTGTCTTTAATTCTGCTGAAAACTCTGTCCTCGTCTCTCTGCATCTCTCAAACATTTCTCAACACGTCTCTCTCTCTCTCTCTCTCTCTCTCTCTCTCTCTCTCTCTCTCTCTCTCTCTCTCTAACTCATGCATTTTTCTCCTTTCAACAATAACAAAAGTAATGCTCCACAACCTAAATAAAATCCAAAAAAATTTATAATCCAAATACATATTATACCCTAGATGAATAAGTCACATTAATTTTTTTAGTGAGACTCACTCATCTAAGAAATACTATGTATTTGAGTTGTAATTTTTAGATACCATTTGAAATGTGTAGCATTTTTCAGCAACAAATGCCCACCTTAGGCGAACTGGTGTTGTGTTTGCTGTAGAGAGAAGGGAGAGAAGATAGATGCAAAAGATTTGGATCTTGTCACATAGAAGAAAGTGGTCGTGGTTTAACAAGCGAAGGGTAGTTAGGCCATTTCAATTATTTTTTGGTAATTAGAGTTACTCCTGCATTTTAGTACACAAATTACCCAGAGAATATATGCTATTTTTGTAAGTAAGAGGGTGATCTGCAAAATGACTTAACCGTGGGGATCATAGAATTAAGTTTCAATTTCCTTGCCAAAATTTCCACAAAAAGCTGGGTAGAACTTTCAACCCTCCAAGTCAAGAGTCAAGATGTAGCAAGGAGGAGGACCTCAAGCACGACCACACACAAGTTGAGATAACAGCAATGCAAGTGATCTATACTCAAACCAATTAGTTCATCATCATCGTCCTCCACCAGCCTATCTTATAATACAGAAATAATGGATTATTGGACAGTACTGCTTTTCTTCCTTTCTCATATTCTGATCTTAAACTACTTTGGTGGCCTCACCATTGCACAGCCTGATTTCGGAGGCCACAACTGTACAGGCAATAGCACTAGCAGTATGTATGAGGCAAATAAGAACACCCTCCTCTCCTCCCTCTTATCCAATATCGATAAACATGGCTTTTACAATTCCTCCGTTGGCCATGGCTCTGATAGAGTTTACGCAATTGTGCTTTGTCGAGGAGATGTTGAGCTGGATACTTGTCGTAGTTGTATTAGCGACGCTATTAGTATGATCGAACAACATTGTCCAAACTTCAAGGGTGCAGTTGGGTGGTACGCTGCATGTATGTTAAGGTTCTCGAATCAAAATATATTCAGCACCCTTGAAACTAGACCCACTGTATCTACTTGGAATTTTGCTACTGTTTCAGACGTGGTTGGGTTTAATCGGTCACTACGGACCTTGGTGGACAGCTTAAGGGACAAAGCAGCATCAGGTGGTTCTCCGCGTAAGTTCGCTGCGGGGAGCATTAGTGCCTCTAATAATGTGACAATATATGCCCTTTTACAGTGCACTCCTGATTTATCACAGCAGCAATGTATCAATTGCCTAGATTTGGCTGCAGGAAATCTTCCGAATTGTTGTGCTATAAATATAGGAGGGCAAATTCTATCACCCAGCTGTACTCTTCATTATGAGAATTACCGTTTCTACAGTGAAATTCAAACTCAGTACACCGACAAAACTCCGGCGTCACCTCCAGGTATAGGATTTAATCTGCTATTTCCACAGATCATCATTTTATTTCGCATTGTCCTTCAGTAATAATTCCCCTTTTATTTTTATGTCTCTATTACATATCTGACTATTGTGTAGTTGTAAACCCACTCTTGTTTTGTTGGAACTATCAGGTAAGATATTGAGGAATTATTCTTTCCAAAACAAAATTGTTTGGAATCGTTCCTAATATTTTAAAGTTGATCCTAAGTTTTTGGATCTGATAAATCGATTATATTCGATTGTCACTACGCTTTTTGAATCATAAAACAACCTCAAATGAATTATGACTAACTCGTATGTACCTGTAAATCAAACCATACAATATTTTGTATCGGATGTTAGTAACTGTGATTATATTGATGCTACACATCTATTAAGTTTTGAGTAAATTTCAGAACTGTCTCTTGAACTTTGAATTATGTTATTTATTTCAATCGACCCCTGTCGTTAAGATTAACCGTTAAATGACACTGATTCTGTTAATATTAAATGTGCAGATTTTGTCAAGATTAACTGTTAATATATCTCATTTACAGGCTAATCTTAACCAAAGGGGTTGATTAAAATAAATTACATAGTTTAAGGGACAAATTGATATAATTGAAAGTTTAGGTAGAATTTATGACATTTATCCTTAAGTTTTTGTCTTTGCTTTTCCCTTCTTCGGAAAAAATGTGCCTTACTCGTTAGATTATCTCAGAAGAGTATTAATTGGATCCAAAATTTACAATTCAAAACGTAATGTGATCAAAGCACATTTTTGTTCTATTTCAGGCAAAAACAATGGCGCAACCCGAACCATCATTATTATTGTCGTTCTAACCGTCATTACTGTGATTCTTATGGTTTGCATTTTTAACTTTCTAAGAAAGAAGAAGCATCGGAAACCAAAGGAGAAAAATGAGAGTAAGTTCAAATTGATTCTCTAATGTAATCCTCCATCATCTTACTATTCTTGTTCTCATTTATATTTGGCAATACTGGGATAAGTAAATGGGATTTCCCCCCTCCCCCCCCCCCCCCCAAAAAAAAAAAAAGAAGGTAAATGGGATTTGAACACCCCACCATTGCTGTACACCAATAGGAAAATCTATATATGGTTATGTAATGTTACACTAAATAGGGTAGTTGTTAGATGCATTGTTGTACTCTTACCTATTAATTTCACATTTAGAAGGTTAAGTAAAAACATCATATCATAACAGGAAGAGCTTTTGCTCGATTCATGCGCATAGTTATCCTAATAATACATAATCTACCTCCATGTATGGGGATCGTCAAAATATAATGTTTTCCCCCCCTCTCTAATGATTTTAGATATCGAGCAAAATTTGTAAACAAGACATTTGCACATGTTCCGGACAATAGACTGTACAACGTGACATTTGCATATACATGGCGCTTTTAGTTGGCTACTGCATTAAATTCATATCCAAATATGTTGGGTTTTTTGTGAAGCCGTGGATGAAATTAGCATCATAGAGACCTTGCAGTATGATTTTGGCACAATAAGAATAGCTACGGACAACTTCTCTCACAGTAACAAGCTTGGAAAAGGTGGATTTGGGACTGTTTACAAGGTAAAAGAACATTCTCATATGAAAATATGTCACACTAAACACCAAAATTGCTTGAAAGAACTAATTTTATAATGCTGGTTCGAAAATATATCTACAGGGTAGGCTTCCAAACGGACAAGAAATAGCGGTGAAGATGTTATCAAGGAATTCCAAAGAAGGGGAACGGGAATTTAGGAATGAAGTCTTGTTATTGATGAAGCTTCAGCACAGGAATTTGGTTAGGCTCCTAGGTTTTTGCCTACAAGCAGCAAAAAGGATTCTCATATATGAATTTGTTCCAAATGCAAGTCTTGATCATTTTATATTTGGTATGATAACCCTTCAAAATCCTAGCGTTTCAAATGTTTTAATCTTAAACAACTTAATTTAGAAATGCATGCATAGTATCAAACAGAAATTACCTACACGTTAATAACCATTAAAAAACTTATCCCAGATGTATTTTGAAAAAATATAGCACAAAACTAAAATAAATGTGATGAATTGGAGTTTTATGACAGAATAATGATTTTTCTAAGCTTTGCCTATTACAAATGTCTGGTTGAATTTGCAGATCCTATCAAGCGAGCAAACCTGGATTGGGATTTGCGCTTCAAAATAATTGAAGGCATCGCTAGGGGACTTCAATATCTTCATGAAGATTCTCGACTTCGAGTCATTCATCGTGATCTCAAGGCTAGTAATGTCTTATTAGATGCAGAGATGAACCCTAAAATTTCAGATTTTGGGCTAGCAAGGCCTTTTGCATTCGATGAAAGTCAAGGCAATACAAGTAGGATCGTGGGAACCTAGTGAGTATTACCTTATCCTATTCAAGTAATCAGCTTGAGTTCAATCTTGAAAGTACAACTAGTTATTGAAAGGCCTAGTTTTGAGTACATTCTTTAACTTCTAGTACTATACTAATACACTTAGGATGTAATAATTACAGCGGATATATGGCACCAGAGTATGCAATGCATGGACAATTCTCTGTTAAGTCAGATGTCTTTAGCTTTGGAGTATTAGTTCTAGAAATTATAAGTGGTAAGAAGAACAATTGTTTCCAACATGGGGAGAATGTAGAGGATCTTCTAAGCTACGTAAGTGTAAATAAATACGATACATTCCTAGCACCATATGTATAATTCCCCAAAAGATTGTAATGTCTAATGAATCCTTTGTGCAGGCATGGAAAAAATGGCAGGATGGGAGGACTCCAAATATAATAGATCCCAAATTACTGGCCAATAGTGGAGGTTCTATACCGGACATCATGAGATGCGTTCATATTGGATTGCTCTGTGTTCAGGAAAATGTAACAGATCGACCAACTATGGCTTCCATTGTTCTGATGCTTAGTAGCTTCTCTCTCACTTTTCCAATACCATCCGAGCCTGCATCGTTGATGCTAAGAAGCATTGATCCAAAAATGGCATTGATTCGAGAGGATGATTCAAGGGCGACTCAGTCCAATCAATTAAAAAATAATTCTGATTGTTGGACCGTAGATCAGGCTTCAATTACTGAGTTATATCCTCGATAGTGTTTTAGTTATGTATGATAGTAATAAGAATGTGTGGACAACATAATGGTTCAATTTAGTTGTTTTGGATCGGAGTTTTCCTTAATGGGTACGAAGATGGAACTGATCCTTCTTAAGGACAAGCCTGTTTGTTAACTTAAACATCTTATATTGTTTTATGAGTTGTTTGTGTGGTTATTAATGGATTGTGGTATGTACCCTCTGGTGCAGTTAGATATTGTAGCAGAAAGGACATACGTGGCTATCATGTAACTGTTCATGAAAGGAATTCAAGACAAGCTGTAAAATAAATTTTTGGACTAAATTTAACATTTGATCAACCTAACATTACTCCATAAAATATCCCACCAACCATTGGAAAATCATTTTGACTGCACCAATTTCTGGGGCATCAAATTAACGAACGAAGAAGATATCGTACCTTTCTTGGAAAATAAAAGTAGAAAATGAAGAAGGTGACAAAAATATCGAGGAAATGATGTCACCTATGAACCACAAATAAGTATTTTTTTGTTGTTGTTGTTGGAAGAAAAAAGGGTGGGGGCAAAGAGAACACCTAGAGACTACCCCGATAACTTTCATTGTAGGATCATGAGGTCCCTGACTGCATCTGTTATTACTCTCGTAAACGAACTTCTAATCTCATGGTGAAAAATTCAGTCCATATCCCACTGAACCACTCCACTCGAGGTGGAGACCAAGAAGTTCAACTATGGGGAAACCACCTCTAAACTGCCTCCCCTTATCTTCAACAACTCCCATCACAATCAATATATTTTTCTCTTTGTAGAATTTTCCTAGCTATGCAATTAATTCAGGAAGTCCTCAAAGTCTTTTTGGTTTTGTTTTTTTTTTTTTCATTTGTTTTATTCGTTTTGCTTTCTGAACTGAGGCGCCTATTGGTGATTGTGAGTCCATGGACTTTGGCAGGTTTGGGGACCAGCAATTTGAACTTGTCCAATTAATGAACGTCTGAAACAAAGACTGGAACAAAGACTGGACCACGTATGCCAGGAACTGTGATTAGTGGGGATTCACGTTGACGGTGTGACTTGTGACCGACCAAAAACTTGCAAAGTCCTCCGCCCCCCGCCACTCCCCTGCCTTATCCGTGGAAAAAGCCATATGACCAAAAACTTGCAAAAANAAAAAAAAAAAAAAAAAACGCCCCCCCCCCCCCGCCACTCCCCTGCCTTATCCGTGGAAAAAGCCATATGACCAAAAACTTGCAAAAACTAGTTTTTTTTTAGTCTTATTTGAGAGTAAATGTATAAATAAATTGTTTACTCTATTAAATTTAATTTTAATAAAGCATCTTATAATTAGGTATAAGATTGAAATGACTTTTTATTTATTTTACTTATTTACCCTTCTTTAAATTATGTATAATTCTCTTTCTTTCGTTCTCTCTCGCCCCTTACTTCTCACACCATTACCCCCTCAGTCTCCATTTACTCTCTCACTCTCCCCCCCCCCATTTTATCTCTCTCTCTCTTGGTTACTTTCTCCCTTTCCAATTTTTTTTTCTCTCTCAATTTATTTTATTTTTAAATATATAAAAATTTGATTTAATTTTTTCATTTCTCTTCCTTATTTTTTTCTCAGTCTCACTCTCTCTCCCACTATCACGACGTGGTTACACCAAATTTAGTATAATGATAAACTCTTTTGTGTAATGATAAATCCAATTTTTTGTATATAATTAGTGTAATCATGTTGTGATACTAAATAATGTAACTCATTGATTTAAGTAAACAATTGAATGACAAATTGAGTTGGTGTTTTAATTTCGTATAATTGTTCGGTGTAACTGTTTGATTTATTAGAATACATGAATAAATAATTGGTGTATTATAAGACAATTGTGTTGCCGTGGTGATGAATATTTTCTACCTGTGGACCGTGCGGTGGTGGGATCCGCATTATATCCCTGCATTGACTTGGAGCCCCAGCGAATGCAATATATTTGGTCTTAGAGGAGCTCTCCCGTCAAATTTGGTGTTGACTGAAAGTCTTTTGCACCGAGCAGCACGCTGGTTCATTAAAGGGTGTGACAGATTGATTGCGAATGACCAACATTAATCTACAAGGCAATGGTCCCAAACTGAAAGAAAATGACATTCTATTTCCGTGGTTAACACTCCCTCTATAGCCATAGATTTTGTAAGCCAGATGAATCATGAAACAGAAAGAAAATGGCATTTTATGATTTTCAAAGTAGCAGGTCTTACGTACCTATATATCGTGGGTCCAACTCAAACTACGAAGGTTAGTAACTAAGCTCGAAAGAGTAATCGGCGTAAAATTGGACACATTGTAAAAAAAAAAAAAACCAATATATCATGGAACAACCCAAACCATGAAGATTAACTGCTGAGTTCAAAGGAATGATCGGTTCAAGTCTGAATACCTTATAATAAAAAAAAAAAAGAAAAAAATCATGGGAAGAGTTGGCTGCTCAGAAGGTCAAGGTTGAGAAACCACCTCCAAATTGCCTTCCTTGTCTTTAACCTCCCCCATCCCAATCAACCATTTATTATCTATGCGAATTTTCCACAACAGTAATATAAAAGTTTGAATCTTCCAAGTCAAGAGTCAATTTGAACAGAGGACGATGACTAGGGCGTCAACCTTCAGTTAGGATTCTTATAAACATAAATGATAACCAGTGGAAGTTCATAAAGTTCATCATCCTTCACCAGCCTATTTCTTCTACTGAAATCTTGTGTCATACAATATCAGTAACAATAATGGGATATTGGAGACTGTTTTTCTTACTTTCTCATGTCATCGTAAATTTTGTTGGCCTCACGAATGCGCAGCCTAATTTCTTAGGCTATCGCTGTGGAGTCAATGTCACTACAAGCAAGTATGAGGCAAACAAGAACACCCTACTCTCCTCCCTCTCCACCAATGTTGACAGATATGGCTTTTACAATTCCTCCGTCGGCGAAAACACTGACAAAATAAACGCAGTTGTGCTTTGTCGAGGAGATCTTGAGCTAGATGTCTGTCGCAGTTGTGTTAACGACTCTAATAGTATGCTCGTGCAGCTTTGTCCAAACTGCAAGGAGGCAATTGGATGGTATGATAATTGTATGTTAAGGTTCTCAAGTCGAGACATATACCGCACTGTCCAATATGAACCAAAAGTATTTTACTGGAACCCACTTGAAGCACCAGACGTGGTTCAGTTTAATCGGTCACTGAGGATCTTAGTGGACAGGCTAAGGAACAAAGCAGCATCGGGTGGTCCTTTGAGAAAGTATGCTGCAGGGAACATTAGTGTCTCTAACAATCAGACCATATATGCGCTTTCACAATGCACTCCTGATTTGTCTGAGCAACAATGTATCAATTGTTTAGATTTGGCTGCAGGGGATATTCCGAAGTGTTGTTATAGAAAAAGAGGAGGAAGAATTCTAGTACCCAGCTGTGTTCTTAGGTTTGAGAATTACCCTTTCTTTAATGAAACTCCGGCAAGTGCACCTCAATCGCCACCTCTAGGTATGCTTCTGATTGTTGATTTTAGACTGAATTGTTGAGCCAACACCATGCACATCTTGTGTAAGCTGAGGCACTTGCAAACACAGATACAGAAACGGCGCACAATATATCATGCCAAATTAATTTGTTTTAATCTGCAATTCACACTGAATGTTTTTGTGATGTCAACAAAGGCCTAGTAACCTTCATGTTTTGTATTATTCTTCAGTCCCGTCCCCTTTTTCTTGTATGCCTATTTCATAATTGATCATTTAGTTGCAACGTGTGTCGGGATGATACCCTTACAAAATACAATAGGTATCACCTATTGTAACTTTGCGACCTATAAAAAAGGTAGAGAGCTCGAAGGGTGTAGAATTCTGTAACTTTGTCTTTTTTATTTTTTTTTTGTCGTGTTTCCTTTTCACTTCTTTGGAAAACATTTACTTGAGATTCTCTCAAAAAAGGATTAATTCGATTTGGTGGGTGTTTGTCATTTTAGTAATAAATCTATAAAATTCATGACCCAAACATACTGTAATCAAAGCATTTTTTTTTTTGCAGGCAAGGACCATGGGACAACTGGACTTGGCACAACTCACACCGTTATCATTATTATCAGTGTAATTGTGATTTCTGTGATTCTTATTGTTTGCCTTTGTATATTTCAAAAAAAGAGGATGCATAGGGAGCCAAAGGAGGAAACTGAGAGTAAGTTCATGCATGCTCAAATATTATTTATCCTCCATGCACATTGACAAGCATGCTCTACTTTATATATGGCGTTGTGAGCAATTCCAAAAAAAAAAATGTACCCACTAAAGTAAAATGTTATATATGTATGTTTGTTAAGATTGTGATGCAATAGCTACATCTATGTGCTACTCTTACTTGCTTATACTGTTATATTCATGTCAAATTTTGTTGGATTTTTTAGAAGCCGTGGATGAAATTAGCAGCATAGAAACCTTGCAGTATGACTTTGAGACAATAAAAAGTTCTACGGATAACTTTTCTAACAATAACAAGCTTGGAGAGGGCGGATTTGGGACTGTTTACAAGGTAGAACATTCTCATATGGAAATATGTCAAAGTTGTATCAAATCAAACACTTGCTTGGCATAATAGAACTAATTTGATTAACATTGGTACCAATATAATTACAGGGTAAGCTTCCAAACGAAAAAGAAATAGCTGTGAAGAGGTTGTCCTCCGATTCCGAACAAGGTGAAGTAGAATTCAAGAATGAAGTGTTGTTGCTGGCGAAACTTCAACACAGGAATTTGGTTAGGCTCTTAGGTTTTTGCCTAGAAGGAACAGAAAGGCTTCTTATATATGAGTTTGTGCCCAATGCAAGTCTCGATCATTTCATATTTGGTATGACAGCCCGCTAGCTTCTCTAAATTTCTTAATCTTTATGGAGTTAATTTATTTCATGTCCACATATGAAGAATATTAAACAGAAAACATCAGACCTAAATAACCATTTAAAAGCCCTATCACAAACTTGTTTTGCTAAATTATAGCACAAAGCTAACATCCATGTGAGAAATTATTGTTATCCGAAAAAATTGTTATTTCTTAGAATTTTTACTAAAACATATGATTGGCTGGAATTGTAGATCCACTCAAACGAGCATATTTGGATTGGGATCACCGCTTCACCATCATTGGAGGCATCGCCAAGGGACTTCTTTATCTTCATGAGGATTCTCGGCTTCGGATTATTCATCGTGATCTGAAAGCTAGTAACATTTTGTTGGATAATGAAATGAACCCAAAAATTTCAGATTTTGGAATGGCAAGACTTTTTGCGCTTGATGAAACTCAAGGCAATACGAGTAGGATTGCAGGCACCTAGTGAGTATTGCATTCATGCAATCAAGTATCAAATAAATCTTTATCCATCTTTGTTTGTATAGATGATATAACACTCAAGTAGCACAAAAAAGTACAACAAACTGTAATCTTGTATTATCTAATTAAAAATATTGGAAAGCCAACTGCTTTAAATACAATCTTGAATATACAAATTTGTAGTTATACTTGTTGAGATGTCTAGGAAAACATGCAGAGATTTATGTTACCTTGAAGCCTGACACCATCTTCTAGTTCTACTATCAATAATACATTGACTTATTAATTGCAGTGGGTATATGGCACCAGAATATGCAATGCATGGGCAATTCTCGGTTAAGTCAGATGTCTTCAGCTTTGGTGTGTTAGTTCTAGAAATTGTAAGTGGTGAAAAGAACAACTGTTTTCGACATGGGGAGAATATAGAGGATCTTCTAAGCAATGTAAGTATAAATAATGATGATAAATTGCTAGCTAATGAATTGCAATCAACCGCAAGATTTTGACTACGCATTTCATTCTTTTAGGCTTGGAAAAATTGGCAGGATGGGACGACAACAAATCTGATAGATCCCGAATTGAAGGTTGGTTCAGGTTCAATGCAAGACATAATTAGATGCATTCACATTGGTTTGCTATGTGTTCAAGAAAATGTAACTGAAAGACCACCCATGGCTTCTGTTGGTCTCATGCTTAGTAACTACTCTCTCACTCTCCCGGCGCCTTCAGAACCCGCATTCTTCTTACATAGTAGCATTGATCCTGAAATGCCAGTGCTTCAAAAGTTTGATTTGGGGACGACTCAATCAAGTCAACCAAAAAGTAAATCGGAAAATGTGTCAGTAAATGAGGTTTCAATCACGGATGTATATCCTCGTTAGTGCTATTTGAGGTTACAAACAATAATGATAAGCATGTTGGTAATATTTTGGTTTATGTTGTTTGTTTTACATCGGAGCTTTTGTTGATAGGGTTCGAAGATGACAAATGATCCTTCTTGAGAACCTATCTATTTTACAGGTTTATGTATTGTATTATTCTATATCTTTGTCGGTGTTTCAAAACATTCTTATTCTAGAGTGTTGTCAAATTCCCCCAGCATTGGTTGTGGAGAAAATGTAACTTGTTTGATATATATTATGCCGCTAAAAATATCGTATCCATTTCTTACATTTGGCAAGTTTTGATGTTGACCCAATTAACCAAAAAAAAATAAAAGAAAGATATTGAGGCAGTGGCTGGATTGTGGTAAAAGTAGTCTCGAGTGGGTCTTTTTTTGTTTAATTCCACTAAATTTTGTAACAAAAAAGACATACGCATGTGTCCCTCAGGCGATTGTTTCTTTGGGAATGTTTTGGTCGTATGGCTTCAAGAAATATCACTATGCCACAAGGGGAGCTGGTGGTTCTTAGCTTATTTAGTCTATAAATTTTTTACGTATGTGATGAATTACTACAGTAGAGTTCACACATGCAAATGGAAGAAACTAAATTGAGTAGTAGACACTCTCTCATGCTTCTTTCACCTTGGTGGCTCTAACGATTCGTAAAAAAATTCATATTCATGCTGAGCCATACAAGCTCTAAACAACATCCAGTTCTTCTTCCTTTAAATTTTTTTTCCCTTGTGTGTGTTGTGTGTTTTTGGTGGTCTTTAAGGAGCAATCCAACACCAAGTTCAAGGATAAACTTGTAATCATGTTGAGCTCCACACACAGATACACCTTAGTGGAAAACAAATGAAGCTTATCATGTAGATGAAGGGATAATGTATGAGAGAGGCATAGTTGAGGGTTCAAGTTTAATGTGTAATGCTCGTCATTTTGCGAAATCATGTCTACTTCAGTAATTAGATGGACTCAAATAGCTTTGATTTGATGTATTTGGACTCAAATCGATATAGGAGTTCTCAGATTCCGAATTATTATTCCCACATTACTAGCTTTGATGTTCCACGGCCATTTTGGATCTTGGCACGCAAAGGTGCATAGACTAGGTGGCCTGTACAGCAGGAGTGTTAACCAGTCTAATACCCTGAACTATAATGCACCATAACGTCCGTTTATGACTATGTTCACACGATTTTAAGATGTATTGTATAATAAATGTTCAAAGTTTTCACTTAATAAGAACTTCATGAATGAATTCACCTTGTGCAGTGTCTCGAAAACTTCATCTCACCATCGCGCAACCCTGTAAAAAGTCACAACATTGGCCACAGGCTTATTAGTGGCTAACACTCCCTCCAAGTCTAACCAGATAAGTGGTGGGTCTTAATTTCCAATCCTATCATAAAGAGAGTTGGTAGGGGAATTAATTTTTAGCTCGAATAATAGAAAGAAAAAAAAAAGATGTGTTCATATTTTACATGTCCATTTGGGATATGGGTATGTACAAATAAATAATAGTAGTTGTCATCCTAATGCATGCACAACAAATGTAAATAGTCACAATCAGACCTATAATCTATAATCTATAATTATAATTAAGTAAAAGAATATTCCCATTCGGGAAATCAAGAAAAATGAAATGCTAGCAAAATTAGGGGCCTCACGATAAAATTTGTCTATTTACCAAAAAAAAAATAGGGGCAAATGGCTTGAATGAATCTTTCCTCCCTATTTTCCAATTTTCTGGAAATTTGACCTATTTAATTAGAAAATATGCTTTCACCCAATCAAATTCTTTCAAATTACATAATCATTTCCACAATTATTGGCTATCCAGCAACTTATTTGAAATTTAGAAACTATACTCCAATCCCCTAACATGTAGATAATTTTTCATGATATCCAAATCGAAAGAGATATGACGAGGGGATTATGTGTGAAGGGGCGTTAGAAAATTGACACGTGTAATGAGCATTAAATATATCCACGTGACAGTAGTGGCATCAAAACACTTGAGGAAACGATGAGTCAATAAGCAGAGCAACATGCCGAACCAGCACTTACGTGACAAAAAGGAAGTAATAGCTTGGCATCGGCAGAGCCGATCTCTATATGTTCGGCTTTAACAGGACCGAGCTCAGCATTTGAACAGATAATCTTTAACGAGTAACTACAATCAACGGATTGTTACAACTAATAAGCGTGATTACCGGCTCGGAAGGGGGCTAGTCAATAGTACAACGTCAAGATAGATTTTTGCCAGTTTCCTAACTGAAGTCCTGAATCAAAGTAAGGTGTGCCACCTTATAGCATCTGCTACCGAAACCCTAGCCGGAGGAATCATTATAAAAAAGAATAAGCAGAGCATAGAAGAGGTCGGTTGAGTCCTTTCTGCATTCTTACTTTCTTCAGTTATTGACTTAAGTATCAGAGTGTCTTTGATCGAAATATTTCGATCCAGAGTAATTTGTTCGTGCTGTAGGAAGGAATCAACAAGGTTTGGACTCAAACCCAGAAAGGAGAATTTCGTGTGGTACGCATATTTTTTCCCCTTACAATGTGTATTGGGTTAAGACCACAAATACCAAATCAATAATCTTAACGAAAAATATAAATTTTGAGGATCTGGTTATAACTTCTGATGATACCGAAAATTATACAAGAGGTAATGGGATTCTAGAAGACAACAAGCAATTAAGAAACTACGATAAGGGGCGGAAAAGGGTTTTCACCATTAAATTATACCTTAGGCAATTATCACTGAGCAGATAACTATTCTATCCCGGCCGAGCTAAAATTGGTCTGACTGAGCAGATAGCTAGGCTATCCTGGCTGAACTAAACTTAGTCCGGCCGAGTAGAGGATAAGATTTGACCAAATAGATAACTAGGCTACACCGAAAAGTCAGAGACGGTGCTAGGCGACCAACGAGGAAATTGCATAAATCATAGGTGAAGGGGGTGCTCCCTTTACAACACGTGTAATAACATTAAATGATCTCACGTGAGGGTGACAAGACCAGTCACGTGAGAAAGACATCACTAGACTCTGTCATCAGATAGAAACCGAGTTGATCAGAAAGCTTGGAAAGGAAGGAGCTCGGTCCTCGGCATGACCGAGCTGTTTAAACAGTAAACGTGGTGCTAAAAAGATGCCTACAATTCAGGCATTCTGGTTAAACAAATGGGCATCATCATAGGATTAGTAGAAGGAATTGCGGAAGAGATCTCAGCAACTTCATGAACAGAATCACCTGATTAGGGGAAGGTGTTCCACCTTGAATAAAAAATCATAGAAACCCTAACTAAAAAAGACTCTATAAAAGGCATAAGGAGCCAAAGTGAAATGTACGCTCAACTCTCTTTGTCTTCTCACAGTTTATTCAATTCCATTGCTGACTTAAGTATCAGAGTACCTTCGATCGAAACACTTCGATCTTGGATAGTTTGTTCATTTTGCATGAGGAAAAGACTTGGAGAACGAGTTCAAAGTTCATTTATGAAAGAGACATCATTTATTCATTCCCGTAAGAGGTACTCTCGTTTTTTGCCTCTTACAATCACTATGTAAAACAGTGGCCTCAAGTAAGAAAAAAACTCTTTTATACTCTTCTTCTTCAAGAAAGCAATATACAATCAAGGAGCAAGAGCCTCCATTACAATGGATTAGCCAAGTTTTTTAGTTGGTGGACCACTTATTTTCTTGTGTATTCTCATTCATTTTTACACACACACAACACACCCAACAAGAGCTCATCCAGCTCTCCACCTCATGCTTTCTCGATTTTTTATCACCATCAGTTTGACGCCGTCTGTGAGAACGATTTTCATTGTTTTAAATCAAATCTCTAAGGATTGGCTGATGGTTCAAGACAGAAATATGAGGCCAAAATCTCAATAATCAACCAAGGGGTCTTGTACCCACAACATCCTTTGACTGGTCAGACTTCGGCTAGATGCCATGAAGCTCTCCATCAATTCCAAAACTATATACTACTGTGAGAGTATGACTTCAAAAGTGGAATCTCTCAAGATCATTGGGTCCTATGCCTTCTTTGAGATCACAGATGCTTCGCGTGGATGCTAGATCAAACTATATTTTCAATTCTTTTGGTGATCAAATTATCAGCATCTACCTCACCTCGTACACAGATAAGTGCTCGATTTTGCCAAATTATTATATATTCTTTGATAGTATTTATTCCAAGTTATTCCTTCTTCGTATTTCTTTTTTTTTTTTTAGTCTCCAAGTCCATCATGCTCACCTTAAGATTGAGCATGCTCTTTGTTTTTACCAGTTATAGACTTTGGTGAGCTTCAAGCAACTTGAGGCTGTCTTCTCAGATGCCCAAGAAGAAATTCTACACGAAGGAGTAGCACCATTAATAGTAGTTGGCACAATCAACCGTCAGATCTGTGACAATTTGTTAAAATCTTACTTATATAATTCAAGGATATTTAGTGCAAGGAACGACTTGACCTTTTAGCCGACCTGACTCTTCAACTGAGGAATGATTTGGAAGGAACAACTTAGCTCTTCAGTCAAGGGATGACTTGACTCTTCAGCCAAGAAATGACTTGACTCTTCAGCCGAGGAATAACTTGAAAGGAATAACTTGGCTCTTCAGCCGAGGAATAACTTGAAAGGAATAACTTGGCTCTTTAGCCGAGGAATGATCTGGAAAGAACGACCTAGCTCTTCAGCTCGACCTGGCGTTTCAGTCAAGGAAAAACCTGGCTCCTCAGCCAAAGAACGACCTGGATATTTAGCTGACCTGGCTTTTCAACCAAGGGACGACCTGGCTCTTTAGCAGAGGAATGACCTAGCTATTCAGCCATTGAACGACTTGGCTCTTTAGCCGAGGAACGATCTGACTCTTCAGCCCGACCTGGTTATTTAGCCAATTAATGACCTGGCTCCTCAGCCAAAGAACGACTTGGCTCTTCAGTCGAGGAATGACCTAGTTCTTCAGCCTAGGAACGACCGAGCTCTTTAACCTAACCTAGCTCTTCAGCCAACCTAGTTTTTCAGCCCGACCTGGCCCTTTAGCCAATGAATGACTTGGCTCCTCAGCCAAGGAACGACCTGGCTCTTTAACCAAGGGACAACCTTGCTCTTCAGCCGATGAATGACCTAGCTCTTCAGTCAAAGAATAATCTGGCTCTTTAGTCGAGGAATGATCTAGATGGAACGACCTGACTCTTTAGCCGAGGAATGATCCAGAAGGATGACCTGACTCTTCAGCCCGACCTAGCTCCTCAGACAAGGAATGACTTGGCTCCTTAGCCAAGGAAAAACCTAGCTCTTCAGCCAAGGAATGATTTGGAATGAACGACCTAACTCTTCAGTCGACCTAGTTCTTCAGCCCGACCTGGCTCTTCAGCCAAGGAATGACTTGGCTCCTCAGCCAAGGAACGACCTGGCTTTTCAGCCTGACTTGGCTCTTCAACCAAGAAATCACCTGCCTCCTCAGCGAAGGAACGACTTGACTCTTCAGCCATGGAATGACCTGACTCTTCAACCAAGGAATGACCTGACTCTACAACCAAGGAACGACCTGACTCTACAACCAAGGAACGACCTAGCTCTTCAACTGAGGAATGATCTGGAAGGAATAACCTGACTCTTCAGCCAAGGTATGACATGGGTCTTCACTCAAAGTATGACTTAACTCTTCAACTAAGATATTGCCTCGCTCATCAATCGTTGCAATACCTGACTCTTCAGCCCAAGTTCCTCAGTATAAATAACTCTTAAATCTCAACATTGTCAGGATCATCAGTCTTACCCTTGAGCTTTTCAACTTCAACATGATCAGGCTATTCAACTTTAGTATTGTTAGGCTCATTTGCTATGTTGGTCACATTCAAAGCTCGGCATTAGCATCTTGGACTTACTTGATCGACAAAGTTTGGACAGCTCAGCCACAACAATTGAATTCAGTTAGTCAACCCATCATAAACTCCTTAGGAGACTCCTCAACTATAAAGCTAGTCAGCTCGGCTTGGCTCCTCAGCCTAAAAGAAGAAGTTAGCTCAACCTGCCTAAGTCCAAAATAGAACAAGCTTTTCAGAACTCGTAGAGCTTCTTCGACAAACCCCTCAAACTCTCGAGCATCCTCGATTCGATCTAAAATGCTCAGCCCCAACCAATGGACAGCTCAGGTCAGTCCATGCTCGGGGTTGGGGGGGCAACTGATGATACCGAAAAATATAGAAGAGGCAATGGGATTCTAGAAGACAACGAGCAAAAAAGAAACTACCAAAAGGGGCAGAAAAGGGATTTCACCATCAAAACATACATTGGGCAATAAGTCACACCAAATATTCTCTAAATATTTCCTAAATATTCCTCTAATATTTTATTATAAAAGGCAATGATTACTATGTAAAAAGAGGGCTTCAAGTAAGGAAAAACACCATTGAACCTTTGATTTAATGATACTCCTTGTCGTGTAAAGATTTTGCCTTATTGAGTTAAAGGTTCAAGTCCACATCCTCCTTCCCTTCCTCCTCCTCATAAAAAAAAAAGTAAGGAACAAACCTTATTGTACTCTTCTTCTTCAAGAAAGCAATATACAATCAAAGAGCAAGAGCTTCCATTACAATGGATTAGCAAAGTTTTTTGGCTGGTGAACCACTTAATTTCTTGTGTGTTTTCATTCATTTTTACACACACACGACACATCCACCAAGAGCTCATCCAGCTCTCCACCTCATGCCTTCTCGAATTTTTACTACCATCATTTTTTGAGAGTCGAAAAATTTTATTCAATTCGAAAATATATATGTGTTTCGATTCTAAAAAATAAAACTTTTGAATATTTTATGTGATTCTAAAATATATGTGTTTCAATTCTAAAAAATAAAACTTTTGAATATTTTATTCGATTCTAAAATAAATATTTGTTTCGATTCTAAAAAATAAAACTTTTGAATATTTAAGTTTTGATATTTTATGATAGAACCTAAAATGTTATGATCAACCTCAACAATTCTTCAAAAGTTATATTTTTTACTCTCAAAAACTATTTTTTAAATTATGAGGCACTGTAGTCTATTTTTTTTTTTGTTCAAATTTGCACTGACTATTTTTTCGAACTCAACAATTGACCACCATAACTTGAGTTGGGTTATTGTTATGAATATATCAGATATGGTTGCTCCAATTGACAAGCTAGGCAGGTCAGAAGGTCAAGAGTGGAAACCACCTCCCAATTGTCTTCACTGTCTTTAACCATCCCATCCCAATCACCGTTTCATTTTCTTTTCAAATTTTCCACAAAAACTTGTAAAACTTTGAATCTTCCAAGTCAAGAGTCAAGTTCACAATGGAGGACAATAAGCACATCAACTAAAAGTAGTGCAAGTTTATACTAAACCAAAATCATCCTCCACCAGCCTATCTATGTCTCTAGCATCCCACGTGACTGCAATTGAGGGGCATTTTTTAGAAATGTAAGGGACTACATTACATATTAGAAAATATGGGACCTTCTTTATAATTAAGACTTAAAGCCCCCGCTTTTTTTATTACACTATTGGGTCGGTCCTAGTCACAACACCGGCCACAGAGGCCTATTCGTGGCTAACACTCCCTCCAAGTCTAACCAGATAAGTGGTGGGTCTTAATTTCCAATCCTATCATAAAGAGAGTTGGTAGGGGATTTAACTTTTAGCTTCGAATAATAGAAAGAAAGGAAAAAAGATGTGTTCATATTTTACATGTCCATTTGGGATGTGGGTATGTACAAATAAATAATAGTAGCTGTCATCCTAATGCATCCACAACAAATGTAAATAGTCACAATCATACCTATAATCTATAGTACATAATTATAATTAAGTAAAGGAATCTTCCCATTCAGGAAATCAGGAAAAATGAAATGCTAGAAAAATTAGGGGCCTCACGATAAAATTTGTCAATTTACAAAAAAAAAAAAAAAAAATGGGGCAAATGGCCTCCCTATTTTCCAATTTTCTGGAAATTTGACATATTTAATTAGAAAATATGCTTTCATCCAATCAAATTCTTTCAAATTACATAACCATTTCCACAATTATTGCCTATCCAACAACTTATTTGAAATTTAGAAAATATACTCCAATCCGCTAACATGTAGATAATTTTTCATGATATCCAAATCGAAAGAGATATGACGGGGGGATTATGTGTATTGGGTTGAGACCACAATACCAAATCAGGTACCTTACCAAAGAATATAAATTTTTAGGATTTGGTTATAACTTCTAAGAGTCGAGAAGTTTTATTCGATTCTAAAATATGTGTGTTTTGATTCTGAAAAATAAAATTTTTGAATATTTAAGTTTTGATATTTTATGAAAGACCCTAAAATGTTATGATCGATCTCAAAAGTTATATTTTGGACTCTCAAAAACTATTTTTTAAATTATGTGGCACTGTAGTCTATTATATATATATATTTTTTACAAAGTATTTAAGTTTGCGCTAACTATTTTCTCAAGCTCTGCAGCGGGCTACTGTAGCTTAAGTTGGGTTATTGTTATGAAAATATCAGATGTGGTTGCTCCAATTGAGAAGCTAGGCTGGTCAGAAGGTCAAGGGTGGAACCACCTCCCAATTGTCTTCATTGTCTTTAACCACCCCATCCCAATCACCGTTTCATTTTCTTTTCAAATTTTCCACAAAAACTTGTATAAAACTTTGAATCTTCCAAGTCAAGAGTCAAGTTCACATGGGAGGAAAGTTAGCCCATCAACTAACAGTAGTGCAAGTTTATACTAAACCAATTAGTTCATCATCCTCCACCAGCCTATCTATGTCTTCGATTGAAATCTTGTCTCTTATAATACAGTATAATGGGTTTTTGGAGACTGTTTTTCTTCCTCTCTCATATCCTGATCCTAAACTTTGCTGGCCTCACCATTTCCCAGCACTACTGTACCGGAGACATGGGTACAACCCCCATGTATGAGGCTAATAAGAACACTCTCCTCTCCTCCCTCTCCTCCAATATCGATAAATATGGCTTTTACAATTCCACAGTTGGCCAAAACTCTGATAGAGTTTATGGATTCACGCTTTGCCGAGGTGATGTTGAGTTGGATATCTGTCGTAGTTGTGTCAACGAATCATCTCCCAAGCTTATGCAAGTTTGTCCAAACTTCCAGGGGGCGATTGGATGGTACGATAATTGTATGTTAAGGTACTCAAATGAATACATTTTTGGCAAGGTGGAAACTATCCCTGTTGCATATGTGTACAATGTTGATAATGATTCAGACGTGGTACAATTTAATCTAGTATTGAGGACCTTATTGGAAAACTTGACGAAACAAGCCTCATCAGGTGGTTCTCTTCGTAAGTTTGCTACTGGGAACACTGGTGGCCCTAATTTTGAAACGATATACGCTCTTTTGCAGTGCACCCCTGATTTATCTGAAGAACAATGTTACGATTGCCTTGAAGGGGCTGCCGGAGAAATTTCGCAATGTTGTAATGGAAAAATAGGAGCGATCATTCTAAGACCCAGCTGTAATCTTAGGTATGATATATCGCGTTTCTATGAGGAAACACCCACTGATGCACCACCACCTCCAACGCCATCGCCACCGCCACCAATCTCGTTGTCGCCATCACCTTCAGGTTTGGCTCTGATTGTGTTCTTTTTCAGATTGAATGGTTGAAGAATCACCGCATAGATCCATTTGCTCGTACTTTTAACGTTTGTTCATTAATTGCTATAAGTCGTTTTTTTTTTTTTTTTCCTCACATAGAATCGAACTTTTTGAAATAGTTCTGAAGCGGGTCATGAGGACTAATAAAAAATTTCTTGCAATCCTCTTTTAAGTACAAGTCCTACAGATCACTATTTTGCTGATTTCCAAATCATGGGTATTTTATTCTATATATGATTTCCACAGTTTCTAATTTTAATTTTTTTTAATTACCATATTAAGGCTTTGTCCAATCACATTCTACCATATTTTGTAACCACCCCTCAACTTTACACTAATATTTTTAAAATTTATTTGCATAAAATTTTATGTTGTGCATCGCACGGGACCAAGACACTTGGATACAAATATATAACAAACAAATTAGGGAAGAAGAGGAGTTGATAAACCTTCCTTCCCTAGTTCCTAAATTTTTATAATTTTGATTTGTCCTCTTACTAAACTAAGTTATCCTATTATCACCATTCAACACTTGACTCCTGTAACCACTTTTATCCCTTCCTCATCAACTAACTACCATCATTTGGATTTTTTTTTAGGAAAATTTAGATTTTATCAACTTCAACTCCCCATAATTTCTCGAACTTCCTCACTAGTTAGTAAGGTTTAAGAGGATTGAAAGGCAAGGAAGGAAAAAGGGGAAGAAAAAAGGGATTGTGAATCCAATGCAGTGCAGGAAACAACGCTAGAAAAATATATAGTGGTTTGGTTGCTTTTAATGCAATCTATATTAACTCAAAAGGTTCAAATTCTCACCACTATATATTTTTTCTTAATTTTATTTAATGGTAGATCACCTATCATGTAAGGGTGAGTGATCCACTTTTATAAGTAGTACAACACACTTAAATTCTCTAGCTTATAATAGCAAAAATAAAATTCCCTAGCTTATATCAATAAATCATCGTAAAGACGCAAACCCTTGTCAAGAAATTGAAGATTTGGTAATACTGGCCTCCATTATAGGTCCATAGTAGCAATATCTACATCAGACAGCAATTGGAAAAAAAAAAAACTAAAATTTTATCTAATTATTGCATTCTCTTTTTTTCCTGGGCACCCCAACCCGGAACCCCCCACCTCCCACTTTTGAATTGAGAGAGAGAGAGAGAAGGGGAGGCACTAGTGGCAGTTTCGGCCAAAGGGGATGGGCTGGGTTTTCTAGCTGAAGAGAAAATGGTCCAAATGAGGCATTGGGGAGTGAGGAAAGAGCAAGTCAAATAAATATGAAGAAGAAAATAAAAAAATTCAAAAGTTAAGGGGAATAGAGTTAATTCCAGTTATTTGGGGAGGCGCTAGTGGCAGTTTCGGCCAAAGGGGATGGGCAGGGTTTTTTGGCCGAAGAGAAAATGATCCAAATGGGGCATTGGGGAGTGAGGAAAGAGCAAGTCAAATAAATATGAAGAAGAAAATAAAAAATTCAAAAGTTAAGGGGAATAGGGTTAATTTCCAGTTATTTGGGGAGGCACTTGTGGCAGTTTAAGCCAAAGGGGATGGGCTGGGTTTTCTGGCTGAAGAGAAAATGGTCCAAATGGGGCATTGGGGAGTGAGGAAAGAGCAGGTCTAATAAATATGAAGAAGAAAATAAAAAATTCAAAAGTTAAGGGCAATAGGGTTAATTTCCAGGTATTTTTGTCCGCTTCAATAGAGGATGAAATTTATTTTAGGTAAAACTCAAATTGGCAGTTCTGAAAACGAAAACGAGCTTTAAATTAAGGCATTTTAAATTTAAAACTTGACAACCCCTTTGAGTTAGCCCATGAGGAATTTATCATTCACAAATACTTTAGTCTTTACATAGATGCTTTGCTTTTGATCGAATTAAAAAGAAAATTAATTAAATTGCGTATAAGTTGGTTCAAACACTTCCGACCATTAAATCCAAAAAAAATAAAATTCATTTTAGGTAAACCTCAAGAGATGTCAATATTTGTGGTGGACATTGATTGTCTGTTCTTTTGCAGGCAAGGCTAGCACGATTCGAAATGTATGCATTATTGGCGTTTTGATTGTCATCTCGGTGATTCTTATTGGATGCATTTGCATCTTTCTTAGAAAGGGAAAGCACAGGAAGCCAAAGGAAAAATCTGAGAGTACGTTCAAAATGTTTTTTCACATTCTGTTTAAAAATCACGACTAGAGTATTAGAAGGCTTATTTTCTTTTTAGCCCAACTTTTTTTAATGTTAACTAAAGATATTATGTTGTGACTAGACACAAACTGAATTGCAATCTCACTAGCTTGGATCGTGATCTCGCTCTAACCTTATGAATGCTAACGAACTCAGTACCATAGTAAATTGCTAAGTTACTAGGCTCGATTTGTTGCAGTATTAATCTTTACCAGGGGCAAAGATTAGAACAACTAACTCCTAACTTCCATTGGAAAAAATGAACTTGTGAAGGTTGACGTCAGCAAATGGCATTTTGACTCCCAATCATTATTTTTAGTGCACCAGCAGCAAACTTTGTATAATTTGAAAAAAAAAAAAAAAGCAGTTTATATAGTGCTGTTAAGAACTACATTGGAAGTTGAGTGTTAAGGATTTAAGTAGGGGACTAAAGTAGAAACAGAGGTATTTTACTTTTAATATTAAAAAATAAATTTAATTTTTAAACTTTTGAAATACAAAAATATTAATTAAAATTTTATATTCAAGCTTTTGTTACTATATTTGAACGAGAGAGACAGAGAGAGTGAGTGATTGAAAAATTATGAGGGTAAGTTTGAATTTGATTTTTTTTTAGATGTAAGATTTGATTTTTCAGTAGTTTTAATTTTACTGTAACTTTTTTTCTTCTTCTTCTTTTTCAAAAAATTGAATTTAAAGACATTTTAATTTCATGAGCTAAATTAATAGATCCAATCTATTCAAGTGGAAATCTTTTGTTTTGGCTTAAATTTAAGTTTTTTTATGAGCCTATTTCTTATAGGTAATATGATAATGTTTTTGCTGAGACTGTATCATATAGCTATGGTTTTAATTCCATTCATTCAAAGATTTGTTGGTTTATTTCTTTTGAAGCCATAGGCGAAATAAGAAGCGTAAAATCCTTGCAATACGAGTTGGATACGATAAGAGTTGCTACAGATAACTTCTCTGATAGCAATAAGCTTGGTAAAGGAGGATTTGGGGTTGTTTACAAGGTAAAAGTAAATTCTTCAATGAAAAATCTTTCTAATTGTGTCAATTGAAAATTTTTCATCCCTTATGAGAATTGATTAGCGTGACTGATCTATATACAGGGTAGGCTTACAAATGGAGAAGAAATAGCTGTGAAGAGGCTGTCTAGAGATTCTAGACAAGGTGATCTGGAATTTAAGAATGAAGTCTTGTTGGTGGCAAAGCTTCAACACAAGAATTTGGTTAAGCTCCTAGGTTTTTGCCAAGAAGGGACAGAAAGACTTCTCATATATGAGTTTGTTCCCAATGCAAGTCTCGATCATTTCATATTTGGTATTATAGCTCTCTCGCTTCTATCCAAGGCTTAGCATTATTGACTAATTTCAATTGCATAACAAGACAATTGTATAGAATAGCAAACATAAAAAATCAGGATGTTAATAACCATTTAAAACTAAACTTATATCTCAAACTTATTTTGTTTAAAGCATAACCCTAAATTCATGATATACCATTTATTTTTCTAAGTGAATGAAATCATTTAGTAGACCTCTGAAGCATATACTTGGTTGGACCTGTAGATCTAATCAAACGAGCATATTTGGATTGGGATTGGCGCTACAAAATTATAGGAGGCATCGCTCGGGGACTGCTTTATCTTCATGAAGATTCTCGATTACGGGTCATTCATCGTGATCTCAAAGCAAGTAACATTTTGTTAGACGAAGAAATGAACCCAAAAATTGCAGACTTTGGGATGGCCAGGCTTTTTGAACCTGATGAAAGTCAAGGCAATACAAGGAGGATTGTGGGGACCTAGTGAGTATTATCACGTATCAACTCGATCTTTAACTAACATATGTTCCAGTGTTATGTGCACTATTGGTACCATCTCAAAAATCCTTCAAAATTCTTACCATGCATCCTTCAGTAATCCTTTAGGGAGAAACATAAGAAGCTTCTGGCTAAACATGGTCTTCAACTTCTGATATTAAAAATACTACTATGACTTGATAATTGCAGTGGTTATATGGCGCCGGAGTATGCAATGTACGGACAGTTCTCAGTAAAGTCAGACGTATATTGCTTTGGCGTATTAATTCTTGAAATTATAAGTGGACAGAAGAAAAATAGTTTCGAACATGGTAAAGACCTTCTAAGCAATGTAAGTATGAATAAGGATAAGAACGCCTGTTGCCATAAAATATAAAACAACATGTAATTTCATATATTTAATCTTTGCAGGCCTGGAAACATTGGAGGGAAGGAACAACTTCAAATCTGATCGATCCCTTAATGAGGGCTCGTCCAGGTTCGGTACATGATATAATGAGATGCATTCATATTGGATTACTATGCGTCCAGGAAAATGTAGTAGAGAGACCAACGATGGCTTCAGTTGTTCTTATGCTTAATAGCTATTCTCTTACTCTCCCAGTACCTTCAAAGCCTGCATTTTTTATGCACAGTAGCATTGATGCTGAAGTGCCATTGCTTCGATACCATGATTCCGGGACAACTCAAAGTAGTCAATCGAAAAATGAGTCTAGTTGTTTAACAGCGAATGAAATTTCAATTACTGAGTTATATCCTCGTTAATGGGGAGACATAGATGATATTTAGAAACATGTTGACACTTTTACTTTTAAGTTTTTTTGAAGATAGGAAAAGGAAACTCACCCTGTTTGATAAAATGTTTATTTTTGGAGTATGATGTGTTGCATTGTTATAGAGATGCTGGTGTTTCAATATTTATTTTCAGGGTAGGCTTTCAATATTTATTAAAGGGATTATCATTTAAAAGGTTATTTAATGTTTAATTTGAAGAATAGTAGGATATAATGGAAAAAATCCTTTGTGTTAGACTCAACTTCTATCAACGGTAGAAACATAAATTCCCATAGCCAATATTCTAGAAAGAAAAAAGGTGTTCATATATTTACTAGTCATATAAATAACAAAAATGTGATACCAACGAGGGTTAATTATAATTTATCCCCTCAAACTATGCTTCTTATTGTAATCAATTTTTTATATTTTTAAATACTACAATTTATCCCTTCTAAATTTCAAGTAGATTAAATTGACTGACAACAACGGTTGAAACATAGAAGTATAAAAATGTTGTCGATTTTTTTTTTTTAAAAAAATCGGGCTTACATATTTCCGGGAAAAAAATTTGCTATTTTTTTTTGTTATTAACTAGTAGTAAATAATAGATTAAATTGATATTGGAAACCTGGGTATTCCTTTACTAGAATTAGATCCCCTAACCTGATTCAAATTATTGTCATCTAAATGGGACTTGAAAGAATTTTAATTGTCAATTTATATCCACTTTCAATCAAATAAAAAGCTAATAATCTGGTCTATTTTTAGAAAATTAAGTTCAAAATTTTTATATAAAATGTTTAAAATTGAGTAATTTATATAATAAGATATGTAGGTTTTTGAATTTATGGGATTATATTTTCACCCCAAATTTCACACAGTTTTTTCCCCAAATTTCACAAACCCAACACAAACAATCCACAACACATAGCAACACACACTCATTATATATACATATACATGCGCATTTTAGCTGTATATACACTCCAATATATGCATAGTATCATAGTTTAGTATATAGTGACTTTAATTACGGGTATCACTAGTTTATTAATAATTGACTAGAAAAATAAAAAAAAATACAAGAAAATTAATGTCGAACAAAGCAATAGACAAGTAGTTTTGGATCACATTACTACTCTTTTATCTGATTCATTATGTAACCTAGAAATGTTAGATTTTTCATGGTTTAAATTATCATTCGACTAAAAATCGAATAATTAGTTAAATTAGATTTTTCATGGTGCAAAATGCCCTAGTAACTGCATGACCTTGTTGACTCTATGCCGTGTAAGATGATTTAAAGACCTACGTAGTACGTACGTGTTGGGAGTAAAGGTACTTTATTTCTATGTTCATTTTTTTCTACCCTTTCCGCGTTGGGGTCACTAGTTATTCATCAGATTTGATTTTAGGGCACTCATGTTGACTTGGCCAAGGTGAGAGGAATGGTTTCAGGATAGCCACACTTTCCAAACAAGTTGATTGGCTCAGAGATGGAGACACCACAGAATATTCAACCTTAATGAAATTTTTTCTTCGGCATCGTTGTCGAATTTAATATTCTGTATGGTAGAAAAGATAGAAAGTACGACGGATAAAAAATTAAAAAAATATATTTTTTATGAAAAAAATATAAAAATGATACACTTTTTTTCATTTGTGTTTGGTAGGATGGATGAAAAATAAAAATAATTATTTATTTTTTTTGGTTCTTGGTAAGATGGAAAAAATATTTTTTAAATTTTAATTTTTAATTTTTAATTTTAAAAATTTTTATTTTTAAATGTCTTTTAAAAAAAATATAAATACATATTTTACTATTGTATTATATATGAAATTAATGTATGCATAATATATGTATATAACAAAAAATATATGTATAAATAAGATACATTTCAAGACAAATAAATAACTTTATATCCACTTTTCTTCCAATTTAGAGAGATTGATTTTGGTGAGTTATAAGGAAAATTAATCTATTCACTTTTCTATCCTTCTTATTTTCTTTTCTTACAAAACATGATATTTTATCTATCCTTCCAATTTTCTATCATTCTATTTTTTCATGGTACTAAACAAAATAAAAGAGATTTTGTAAGTCTGGCCCCAAGTAAAAGAAAATAGCAATTTTTTAAAGAGCTGTGGGAATGTACAAAGAAATAGACCTGTCCAAGGTTCTTCATGAGACTAAGGTGGCCATAACCTTAATGTTCCCAAAAATATATAAAACAAATGTGAAGTATTCTTAAATTATATAAAAATACAATGCAGTTGAAAAAATGGTTATAAAAATATTTGGCTTCTTTTATCATTTCCTTCCGACGGATAGGTTTCGTCGGCGTGCAGGATATCGTTTATTAATTTTATTTTACTTAGTTCGCAACGCATCTCCTAACAGAGAGGCTTTCTCATTCAGCTACATTAGTTAGAAGAGATAGTTGGCATCCCTCTTAGGTAGGTGTAATTCTTTTTTTAATTAATAAAATTCTTTCGTACCATTGAGGTTTCCAAAAAAAAAAATTATAGTTGGCATTAACATTTTCTTATCTTTCCTTGTATTTAACCACGCCCATCCCAATCAACCTTTGGTTTTCTTTTCAAACTTTCCACATTCAATTCAGAAATTTGTGTAAAACTTTGAATCCTCAAAGTCAAGAGTCAATGGTAGAAATCATTACGTTTGACCAGTTAGCATTTAGTTGCCTCAAAAAAAAAATAGAAAAAGAAAATTATATGCAAGTTTATCTGCAAGCTCATAGTTCATCGCCCTTCTCCAGCTTATATGTGCTGCAGCTATTGAAAGTCTTCAATTATTCAATACAATGAAAATGGGTTATTGGAAACTGCTTTTCTTCCTCTCTCATATCGTCCTCAACTTTCTTAGCTTCACCACAGCACAGAACTTTTGTCTTGGAGACAATTCTAATAGCAGCATATATGAGGCAAATAAGAACACCCTCCTCTCCTCCCACCCCTCCAATATGGATATATATGGCTTTTACAATACCTTTATTGGCGAAAAAATTAATAGAATTAACGTGATGACGCTTTGTCGAGGAGATGTTGAGTTGGATATATGTCGTAGTTGTATCAATGACTCGACTCGTAATGTCATGCAACTTTGTCCAAACTACCGAGGGGTAGTGCATTGGTCTGAATTTTGTATGTTAAGGTTCTCAAATGCCTCTATATTTCAAACTATTGAAACTCGCCCTAGTGCATATGTGTTCAACACTGCTAATGCTTCAAACGCGGATCAGTTTAATCAGCCATTGAGGAACTTGTTGGAGGGCTTGCGAACACAAGCAGCATTAGGTGATTCTCGACGCAAGTTCGCCTCTGGGAATGTACCTGGCCCCGACTTCGAGACAATATACGCGCTTTCACAATGCACCCCTGATTTAGATCGGGACCAATGTTACAATTGCCTAGAAGGGGCTGCTACAGAAATTTCGCAATGTTGTAATGGAAGAATAGGATTGAGCATTCTAATACCAAGCTGTAGTTTTAGGTATGATTTGTGGCGTTTCTTTAATAAAACACCAGGTGATGCACCACCACCATCACTGTCGTCACCTCCACTGCCACCATTACTGCCGCTTCTAGGTATGACTCTGTCTGTATTTGTTTTTAGATCGAAATATTGAACGGATTGACAAGTAATGCATTTGAAAATTTGCTCCTTACCTTTCCATGTATTTCGATATCAGAGATGGCCTAGCCATGGTGGCTATAGGGTTTAAGCACCCAAAAGTTCAGACCTCACTCATAGTGTAATCAAAGCATATTTTGGTTCTTTTGCAGGGAAGGACAATAGCACAACTCAAACTGTCATCATTATTGTGGTGCCAATTGTGATCTCTGTGATTCTTATCATCATATTCATTTGCTTCTTTCAACGAAAGAGGAAGCATCGGAAGCTAACAACGAAAATTGAGAGTAAGTTCAAATTCATTTCCCACAGTATTAATCATTTAATGAAATCAAGGAGAATGCAACAGTTTCAAGTATTGCGAATCATACAAATTTAATAAGTAAGCTACGGTCACCAAGTGTAAACATGGCATATTCTCAATTCCAAGTTGTTATATTTTTGAGCAACTATGGATGAAATAAGCAGCATAGAAACTTTGCAGTATGACTTTGGTACTATAAGAATTGCAACAAATAACTTCTCTGATAGTAACCAGCTTGAACAAGGTGGATTTGGTGCAGTTTATAAGGTAAATGAACATTATGATTTGCAAGTCTATCAAGCTATATTCAATCAAAAAACTTGCATTGCTTGAGAGAACTAATTTGTTTAACACTGGTGTTAATATATCTATAAGATACGCTCCCCAACGGAAAAGAAATAGCTGTGAAGAGGCTATCTAGCGATTCCGGACAGGGTGAACAGGAATTTAAAAATGAAGTCTTGTTGGTGGTAAAGCTTCAGCACAAGAATTTGGTTAGACTACTAGGTTTCAGTCTGGAAGGAACAGAAAAGCTCCTCGTGTATGAATTTCTGCCCAATGCAAGTCTTGATCATTTCTTATTTGGTATGAAATCTCCCTGATAGCCTACGTTCTCTAAAGTTCTGATATTTATTGGCTTAATTCAGGATATAAATATGTATACAAGTGAAAAATGTTGAACTGAAGACATTCAGAAACTCAAGTTGCTAAATTATCATATAAAACTGAAAGGCATGTGATATATTATTAGTTTCTAAAAGAATTGTGATTTGTTAGAACTCAGACTAAACCATATGCTTGGCTGGATTTGTAGATCCCATCAAACGAGAACAACTGGATTGGGATAAGCGCTATAAAATCATTGGAGGTGTTGCTAGGGGCCTTCTGTATCTTCAAGAGGATTCTCAACTTCGGATCATTCATCGTGATCTCAAAGCCAGTAATATTTTATTAGATGCAAATATGAATCCTAAAATTTCAGATTTTGGGATGGCAAAACTTTTTGCGGTCGATGAAACTCAAGGCAATACGAATAAGATTGCAGGGACCTAGTAAGTATTACATTTGCTTAATCAAGCATCAAATAAGTCATGACCTACACCTGTTACATTCTCGTGTCAATTATGAATCAATGAAGTAGGACAAAAAAATGGAGAAGTCATAGGTTTGAGTACAATTGGTCTTGAAGATACAAAA